TTCAGTGATCGAACGGTTTGATACATCAATCTTTTATGTTTAAAAAACACCTAGTGATTAAATATTACTATTTTACAGCTACGGTGCTTTAAAACATATATCAATAATTTCAATAAAATAGATCTGATCTAAATAAAATTAATCTGATTAATTTTATCCTTCTAAAAAACGATCACGACTTTTTCTTTCTTTCTTTCTTTTTTTTTTGTTGCTTTTTTTACTTTGCTCGAGTCATATTTATGAATAGATGCCCAGTCTCCTTCGATATGACCCTCTAATCACTGAAAGGATGAGAACGGCAGCGAGATTTCTGAGCTGTCCCACGTCCAGCGCAAGCTTCCTACCTCCGAGAATACTTCGTCGTCTGGTGAGGCGTGAGCGCACGCGGAGTCAAAGCACGAAGGAAGGCGAACAGCACGTGGGTCGGGCGTCTGAAAAAGACGCCTTGCTTTTCTTGTCCTGTCTGGGACTTATACATAGCATACAATTTTACTCCAGAGTTGGGCGCTGTCACTCTAGCGTTCCATGTGCTCTACTCTCTCGATTACATTTTTCTGTCTCTACTGGCGTCGGTGAGCTCGCCGAACATTTTGCTTTTGAATGTCGACATTTAAACATGCCGTCAACCGTGCACGTGAAATGCACGTGTTTAAAAACTACAAACTGTTCGGTGGGATCATAGCCACCTATATGCCGGCAAAGCCCGTCAGATCGCCACGAGAAACGGCCGCCGAAATGGAAAATGTCTTTGTGTCACTAGTTGCGTGCAGTACAGGCGAAAACAACGCCAGGCGATGGTAAAAAGGGTAAGCACTAGGAAGGCTGGGGAGGGATGAGAAATCTCCTCTCCTCTCTAACGTTCCTAGTGCTCTCCCTTTCTTCCCTCGCCTTCTATTGCCCTCCTCTCGCGTTCCCTAGTGATCGTTGTTTCTCTGTTCACTTGGCATTGCCTTCGCCTTCACTGCGCACAACTAGTGACGCGGAGTGCACAGCTACGGAGGTTTTGAAGCACAGCGTGTAAATGGCGCTTCTCCGTAGCGTCTTCAAAGAATACAGTTTTGAAATGCTGCCACTGGATGGCAAACAACAAGTGGCAGGGGAGGGAGGTTACTTCTTCCGCGGGAGTTCCACAACTGAGTTGATCTAAACATAAGGATACTCACCCACCATGACTTAGCATATTTGTGCCCGCGTTTTCAGTGGGTCAGCTACTCTGGCACATTTTTATTTTATTTATTTCAAATACTGCCAACCCTTGCGGGTTAGAGCAGGAGTGGATACAGTAATACATCAAACAAAATACAGGTGACAAGGAATTATACATAGAACAATCGTTCTCACAGGTACAACTACTCGTCAGCAAACCAGCTCATCAACTTTTCTTCAAATTCTTCAGCAGAAGTGACGTCCGAAAAAACACTTGGGGGTAATCTGTTCCATTCTTCAATTGTTTTGACATGAAACAAATATTTAAAAATAGCAATATTAGGCATAAATAGGTCAACTGACAAATCGTTAAGTAGTCGAGACGTCTTCCAGGAGATCTGATATACGTTTGCGTGTCAATATGGTAATACTTAAAATACAACAAATAAAAAAACTTCATCCGCGCAATTCTTCGTCCTGACGCTAAGGAGGATAATTAAGCTTCCCTCAATAATGCGAAACAGACTCGTGTCTATCCCATTTAGAAAAAGTAACCTTGCTACTAGCCTTTTAGTGCGCTCCACTTTATCTATTTGAGTTTGTGCGTGAGGGTCCCATATTATCGATGCATATTCCAATGTTGAACGCGCTATAATTTTATAAACGTTGTTCCGGATGTCGGAGTTCGTCCCCCTTAGAGATCGCCTCATAAAGCAAAGTTTCCTATATGCTGAATTCCATACATTCTCAACGTGCGTATTCCAGCTGAGATCACCCGAGATAGTAATACCAAGATACTTAATAGTGTTAGAACGTTGCAAGACTACACCATCTATTTCATACGAAAACATCAACGGAGACTTCGTTTTGGTTTTGCTTAAGACAGTAGTTTTATGAAAAGTAATTCGCATATCCCATTTTTCACACCAGTGAAATATAGTTTGTCAAGGAGTCATTCAGTAATTCTCGATCATCTGCAGCTAATATGGGGATGTAAACCAAACAATCATCAGTAAAGAGACGCACTTCTACAGCTGGGTCGATATCTTGAGCGATATCGTCAACATAGACTAAAAACAGAATTGGCCCCAAAACAGATCCTTGGGGTACGCCAGACGTGACCGGTAAAACAGATGACGCATGACCGTCAATTTCAACGTACTGTGTCCTATCAGATAAGTATGATTTGATCCAAAGAACCAAAGTTCTTATTAACACCAAGAAGCAATAACTTTTCAAGTAAATTTGTATGCGTGACTCTGTCAAATGCTTTAGATAAGCCGATAGATACAACATCTACTTGGCCACGAACATTGAGCGCTTTTTCAAACTGAGGAGCTGATTCAAACAACTGGGTAATAGTCGATAGCTTCCTGCGAAAACCGTGTTCGTTATCATAAAAAAAGGTTGCTGTCTTCTAGAAAATCAACGAGATGTTTAGAAATGATGTGTTCGAGCATTTTGCATGTTGTTGATGTAAACGATATCGGCCGGTAGTTTTTAACTTCAAGATGGTTGCCCGATTTGTGAATCGGTACAACCTTGGCGATAAACCAATGGACTTCTTCCAAAACCGACGCGCCCCATCGCGGCGAAATACCACGCAGTGCACTCTGGGAACTAGTTGGCTACTCAGTTTCGGTTTCGACTGAGCAGCTTCATCTCATGCTATCACGCCGCGACCGAACGCGCTGGTTGCGTTTTCGATTATCTGACTTTTCACGAACGTACAATACACTCATTCTCGAGCGATACAAAACGAAGACCGGGGCACTTTCCTTGGTTCCCGAAACACCGGATATTGTGCGTGCGTATGCGAACATAGTAAGCCGTGGCTTAGTCACCTCACCCCACGAGTGCATCTTTGAGCTCAGTGTCAGTAATCCCGTCTAGTACCAGTGAACTACAACTGAAATTTGTTCGTCTGGAGCCTTACACGCATTTTGTTTGCCAAACGTCCGCTTCTCGTTACTTCGTTGGACGAAAAGCAAGCCGCATCCTCACAGGGTATCAAAGTTGAGGCCAGCGTTTACGCATGAACTTTTAAGGAAACGCAATAAATTCGACCTCACTACTGCACAAAAGTTACTCTGATGTCTTCCTCGTGTCATCATATATCTCCCACTAGAATTTTATGCTGATAGAAGATTAACTTTTCGCAAACGCTGAGATCGGCTAGCTACGACGGAGGCCCTAACAAGCGTATCCTACTCCTCGCTAAGCCTTTTTGGACGAGCTTTTAGTGACGCCCGAGATCTGTGTCGGGAACGGTGTGTCTGAAATTATCTCGGCACACTCAGGCAGGAAGAAAGCAAACACATAACAAATATTATGGCCATTAGCAGCCGTCAAATGCGCTCTGAATTCGTTCGAGCACTTGTCTGAAGAATGTCGCACCGTGCGCCGGACGGGCATGCCCGTCTGACGCACTACCGGCGAACGGTGCGACATTCTTCTCACAAGTGCTCGACTTTTGCATTCTTAAAACGGCCTGTATGCGCGAATTTGCCTATATGATTGCAGTATAACTTAATGCGCATACGCGATGTTGAATATTAGTGGAATGCAAGCGGGTGGGGACTTCACTTCGTGCAGTGCTGCGGGTCAGTACAGATAAGAGATAAGTGTGTTAAAATTGAGCTTTTCAATGGCACCTCCGAGTTTTACCTCGCATACTCAGGCACATTAAGAAAAAGAGTAATTGCAAAAAGTAATATTTCGTCTATGGACGCACGAAGCAAACTTCCTGATCAACAACACTAATGCAAAGGCGCGAGCTCGATGTATGCATACTTATTGGTTGCTACAGCTTGTTGATTCGTACACAAGCAAGATCCCCGAGCACCCGAGCTTCGCAGCGTCGAGACTCCCAGCACTGGCTCGTCCACATACCTCGATTGGAATGCTAACAGGAAGGTTCAAGTACAAAAATACAACAAGCATGTGTTAAGACAAGCTATACGTCTCGGGATTGTGCTAAAGCTTCGAGGTATGACCATTTAGGTTAGTTTAGAGACCACAAATGACGCTCTCGGGACCAGAAAACAATTTCTTGTCGACGTGTCGATCGAAACCGAAACCATGCCACCCTCCTCCCTGGCCAACTAGTTCCCAGAGTGCAACGCGCGCCGTGTTGCATGCAGGGCTTTATGGAAGTAGTCTATTATTTTGGTAAGCGACATTTATCTAGCGACTTTTGAAAGATAATGGTCAAAAACGTGAAACCAGTTCGCAGCAACGCCTCAGGAATTCATTCGGGATTTTATCTGGTCCCGGTGTTTTTTTTTTTTGTTTTTTGTTTTTATGTCAACATTTAGTAGTAAGGCCCTCACTCCCTCAAGAGTAATTTGAATAGGCTGTGTTTGCAGGCTGGGTTTGTTGTCAGTCGGGTTATTTACAGATCTGCCCACTGAAAAAACCGAGTGAAAGTAGTTATTGAGTTCATCTGCTACGGTAAGCGGATTACCGAATATAGCACCGTCCACCTAAACCTATTTTATAACTTTCTGCTTAGGGGACAGATGTTTCCAGAACTTATATGGCGACGTTTTTAAAATCGGATTCATCGTATTTGCAAAGAAGCTATAGTTTCGGAATCTTTGAGTTTCTTTTTCACATCACGGCTTAAAGAACTAATTGCTGACAAGTTCCGGTGCTTACACAATCGCTTGCGTTTTAATCTGCGCTTTACGTGGATGATCTCATCTGTGACCCAAGGATTTGTCTTATTAATCTTTTTTTTATTCTCTGAGAAACATACGCTGTTAGACTATAGTTTACTGCTTCCTTAAAGTCTTGCCACGGTTCACACGATGATGGGATTAAGCCGAGCGCGTACGCGTGTCCCTTTGCAGACACGCAGGTCAAGGTGAGCTTCCTGATGGAGAACAAGCCAGTCAAGAGCAAAAAGACGTCGGTGTGCAAGCGCAACTGCGAGCCCAAGTTCATGGAGTCCTTCGGCTTTAAGGTTTCTCCAGCGGGGCTCAGCGCGGCCAGCGTCATCCTCAAGTTGTCCTGCTTGGCGCCGCCACACAAAGGTAAGCTTCAAATATACAGTTCGCTTCACTCATTTTATGTGCGAACGAAGCCAGGGCTACGAGCTCGAGCGTGTTGCTCTTAACGATGCGTGCACTGCACGAGCGCATGCGCTTTGCAGGGACACTGAAAGGCCGAAGCTCTCTCTTTTAGTTTTTGCTAGTGATGTGCTAAACTACAAAATGCGAACTTACTCGAAGTATTCTAAATACGTATTTTAAATACTTGTACACTGACTATCCTTTTCAGAAGATGGTGGTCTTTGGGGTTTGTCGATATTGACAACCCAAAATTTCTTTGATGGAAACGCGAAAAGCGCTTCCAGCGCTACAAAATGAAGCTTTATTTGGTGTCGAGACTCGGAGAACAAATGTAGAAAAGATAAACAAAAACTGGTTCCAAAGTAGTAAAGCTCCGCCTTCCTGCCATACTATGAAGGACGTTAAAACAGAATTCAATGAGAAAGCAGGCAAAAACGTTTCTAGTCGCCACTACTCAACTGCATCTCAGAAAGAGAGATAAATCATTACATCCCAAGGAAGCGCACCTGAGCACGCTCCCACCAGGACAAAGATCACTCGGAGATAAACGGACTGCCGCGGCTAACGGCAGTCCTTTTCTTGCTTTTAACGGCAGGGGGGGGGGGGGGGGGGGGGGGGTAACCGTATTTGCTCGAGTAATGGTGGCGCCGCTTATGAACAAAGCCTGTGGGTCTGTTTTCTGGCGGAGCACGAAGGTAGCCAATCATTTCGATCGGCAGAAAGATGGCAGCGGTTTACGGGGAGGTGAAAACGTTTCACGAGAAATTGCTGTCTACTCATATCGTATTCTTACGGAGAATCGTGTTCTCAACCTCGTTATTCGCTGAGTTTTTTTTATGCAGAACGCGATGATTGGCTGTATGTGTGTTATGCAGGAAAGTGGACACAAGGGCCTTATTCACAAGAAGTGTGGCTAATTCTCGAGCAAATAAGAAACTTTTTTCTTCAGTTCAAACAAACAAAACCGTAAGCATTACAGCATTATGGACCTTTCGTAGATCGTAGGTGCGTGCTCATTCCGTGCTGAACCTGATGGCACGAGCCCCCATTATAGCTCCCCGCTTGAATGTAAATCTTTTGCGAACGATCCACGAAAGGTTCGTATGCATTGAGAAACTGAAGGAGAGGAAGGAATGACAGTGCTATGATAGTGCGTGAGGGAACTCCAGAACTTCAAGCTCTGGAGCTAAACTTGGCATCTGCAGCCGATTCTATGATCCGACGGAGTGTGCTTTTACATCGCAGTTTTTGCTTCCGGTAAGAGCACCGCTGTAGGCGGTAGCGCTACGCTAAAGCTCCCTATTGTATCTCCATACTCCAGCTATAGGGCAAGGTTTCGTCCGTGTCCTAAAAAAAAAAAACCTATAATCCCGCTTTCTTTTTTTTTTTTTTTTTTGCATGAAGCTTTTAAGGATGTGCATGATCACCATAGTGGCGTGCGGTCGTATAATTACTAGGGCTGGACAATTGATCGATTAACCTTCCGATTAATCGATTAAGGCTTTAATTGCGATCAAATTTTTTAACCGGTTAATCGGTTTTTTTAATCGGTACTCAAAAAGAACTGGATGCACGCATGGCTCCATCCTGGTAAGGAAAACGCTGCGTGGCATGTATCCGGTCGTTCTGTCCCGAGCGGTTTTCCGTTCCCAGCCAGATGCAATGAGCAAGGTTCAATTCTCGCGCTTGCGAAGCGTCACCTGTTCGAGGATATACATTACAGTTCTGCCTCGGCCAGACGAACAAGCCGGGCTTGCAATTGATCCCTGCGTGACCGCGAAACTTCATGCGTCGAGGACCTATTACACATCCTGCCCAGGCAAGACAAACAAGTAGAAAAACAAGCTGTGAAGCTAACAACGCCATGGCTACTTGTTCCAGTATTCGGCCCACAAAAATGGACGAGTTCATGAGTATGAAAGGCAATCTCTCTGAAAAGTTTGGGTTTAAAGTAAACTCCAGCGGTGAAGTTTTTAACTCGAAGGAAGTCACTGCATCATCTGCAAAAAGTCGTTTTCATACAGTGAAAGCTTAAGTTCGCTTCAGTATCACATACGAGCGAAGCACCCATGTACTCCGCTGCAGCAAGGACCATCCGCCAAAACGCAACAACAATCAACGTCTTCTCCATCGAGGTCCCTTTCTCTGAAAACAGAAGAAAGCATCGCCCAAGCCCTGACTTCTTGTCTTCCTGTCGGAAAATGTGGACAAACTTCTTTGCCTTCGGACCTGGAGCAAACTATGCGTCTCTGAATCGTTGAACTATATATATCCTTAATTCTAAATGTCCTTTGCACCGTGTAACAGAGAGTAAAATAAGTCTTCAAAGGCAAGACGAGTTGTTGAATTAATTTTAATATATTATTTATAAAAAATCAACTCAACCGATTAATCGATTAATTAATCGATTAAAGGGTGGCGATTAATCGGGTTAAAATTTTTAATCGACGCCCAGAATCTCTACTGCAGGTCGTGCGTTAAGGACTTCAAGTGACCAGTCGTACTGCACTGGCCAAATTTCTCACTTACAGCGTGAACCAGTGAACCTCAATGGCCTCTCTCGCCATCAAAAAATTAAATCTTTTTTTTTTTTTTAATAAGCGTTAGAGTAAGGCGAGTGACAGTCATTCGGATATTTCTTGAGAGTATTGGAATCGGCACGTGAAACAAGTCTTTGGTTGGTAATCTCACAAAGTAACCTTTCTGCGAGCACAAGCTTTAGAGGTTTGTAGGCGCGTCCCCGAAACACTCGTGCAGGGAAAGAATAGGCAGGTTTTCTTAATATCAGAGAACCGTTAGGACTACATTCACTGACAGGTTGAAAAACGCCGGTCGTGAGTTCTTATGTTCGCCCTTCTCGCTTCGTCATCTGTTCTTGGGCTTTCTTCTCAGCTAATGACGCGACTCCATTGGCTGCGACGCGATAATTAGACGTTTGCGCTTCACTGTGCCCTGCATTTGTTCAGTCGAGGGGCTACAAAGTGTGAATTGCAACGTAAGGTTCGATGTAGATGCTCCGCATTCAACTCAAGCTGTAGCTCTCAAATTTCTAGCAGCACCCCTAGCTTGCAAATTCGGGTATTTTTAGGTCGCGTTTAATCCTTTCAAAGCCCGTTCACAAACTTGCAACCGAGTACTACCGAGTGAGACAAGACCGGTTTTTAAGCCTTTTGCGACGGCGTAGGTCCAGATGCGCTGCTGCGTAGCAGGTCCTATGCCCTCGCAAGAGGCTTAAAAGGCGGTCCTACTCTGTTGCAAGTATGGGAACGAGCCTTTAAACGCTCTGTTGGTGCCCGTTTACAAACGCTGAGGGACGCTGACAGTCGCTAGTTTACGCCCGTGGATCGTGCATGATGGAACGCTAGGACGCCGAGAGAAAGAAGGATTACGATAAAGGAACTACTAATATGGGAGTCATAGCCAAAGGCGAGGGGGTCATCATTAGCTGGGGGGGGGGGGGGGGGGGGGGGGGTGGAAGCTTGTTGAAGTGGCAAAAGAGAAAAGTGTGAACGCTACGACGTCGCCTCAACTCAGCATTAGGGAGTTTTCGTAGACCGTTTCTAACCTCCGCCACGCTCTCCGGAACGAAGACGCCACTACTGCGCATGCGCGGCACTTGTCTTGCCTGCAGAGTCTCGGATCTCGTAGCGGGTTGCGGAGAACGTTGCGGGACAGCGGAAACGATCTATGAAAACTCTGTATTAAATGGTCGTGTCTCTCGACGCTAGTCCAGGGCCTCTAAACTAGTGAGACACAGAGTTCGGGCCGAAGTTGACGGAGCGCACCGATTGGTCTATCACGACGATGACTTCGCGCTTTTTTCGCCGACGTCCCATCGGCGCGCTCCGCCAACTTTCGGCTTCAACTTTGTGCTTTACGAGTTTAGGGCCCCAGGCGACTCTTTCCTGGTCGCATCTTGTGGACGCCACAGCGCCCCCTGGCTACGGTGCCTGGAACGGGTCTCCGACTGGTGCGTTTAGCGTCCTATTCAGCCCGCACACCTAAAGTGGTCCCGAAGTGACATTATATGAGGTCACAAAAGCCGGGGTGTCATGCTGTAGGATGTCGCGACCACACTCTAAACAAAAATAGCGTGTCGTCTTATACCCTTTTGTTCCATATAATGCCTCACGCAACTTCACTTCCACGTATTGCGCACTGACGTCGAGCAGGCGGCCCCAACTTTAGCGAGCGGGTTGACAGTGGTGCGACATAACTTATTGAACACCTAAAGTACGTATCAAAGAGCTAAAAAAAAAAAAATCTGGTTTTACAGTAGGGCCGGAAATCCTCGTTTTTTATCTTTTTTTTTAGTCAGTAAGACGTACATTAGCTTTTAGCCGGTTCGGCGTCAATGCGCTCTACTTTGAACTGAAGATTTGGGGTATCTTATATGGCACAAGGGGAGTAAGAATGTACCCTTCTATTTCTGAGAGCAGTGGCGGTTGGCCGTAAAAATGCTGGTGAAAAGCACGAGCGTACGCGAGTGTCGCTGTCGTCGTGGCGTCCCAACTCCTGGCTGCCGAAGCTTCCGCGTACTGTCACGCTGGAGAGCGACCTGCAGCGGAACAGGCGCCTGCCGCCTCCCCCACCGCTGCTGTAACACCGTCAGGATCGCGGCCGGTGACAGCGTGATACGTCTATGACGTCACCAGGCGGAAATCAAAGGACCCATTTTTTGGACGCGGTAAACACACCAGTCGCGGAGACGCGTTCCAGGCACCATACCCTGACCAGAAGAAACAGGACTGTACGGAGCACAATTTCGTCTGCTTTTTGCGCAAGGGTTGCGGTGACGTCACAACGCAGAGCTCCGATTGGCTTAATCAGAAGGATAGTGGATGGACCTCGAGACAGCTAGCATTGAGGTCTACCCACTGTCTTTCCAATCAAGCCAATCGGAGCTCAGCGTTCTGACGTCACCGCGAAACATGCGCAAGAAGCAGACGAACTTGCACTCCACATAGCAGAGCTCTGCGCACGCGCAGCCAGACACGCCGTGAAGCGGCGACGAGCGTGTCCTGGAGGCAAAGCGTCTCCTGCAGACCTCATCTGGCAACACCAGACTATAGTATGGAAGTAAACTGAATCATCACGTATTCTACAAAATTGGGCCAAGGTGACTTTCGATCTTACGCAACGGACGCACGGAGTTTTCGTTGGGCTGATAGCTTTCCGAACTCGTCCTATAGGCGCTGAAACTATTTGCCCAGCGTTCGAAGGCGCCTTGATGGCTGCAGTGTTCACAGTGAGGGTATGCCAAGAGTTTTACATTCTCTTTAGGGCATGAAAATGGGTTCTCATTCGGTATTTTTTGGCGCAAGCTCATTTTATGCGTCCTAGGTGTCCTAGAAAAGCCAAAAATAGAATATCTGTGGATCGTCCTTATGGTTAAAAAACGCGACCAAACGCCGTGACTCGCCCTCTTTTTTTTTAGATATCTGAGAAAAGAGGGTCGAAATGCAATGTTTGGCAGCATTTTTACTAAAAAGAAAATCACACATGATTGGTTTTTTTTTTTGTTTTTACGCAATTAAAGGCAGAGATTGAGTTACTATACCGTAACATCATGAGCTCTGCCCACACTTGAACATTCTTTTGAACAGTCTGACAAACAAACGCTACTATGAAAACTCCATTCTGACTTTTCAAGCAACTTCAAAGTGATTCTTGAATTTCGTTTTGTTATTTAGCGTAGTAGAAGCGTGATTTGACGTTAACTGAGCAAAATGCACGAGCCAGGAGCACTTTCCAGTGAATTTTAATTCACAAAACAATCCCGGTTGTCGATAATTTTGAAAAAAAGGAAGTAAAAGGAATTAAACAAATCGAACGTTATCATTGACAAATGTGAATTCTATACCTTTGTAACGCCATGGTTGCCTTACTAGAGCACTATAAGTGCAGCGTCATCTGACGCCCACCTTTGGTTGTTGTAAGTTTTTTTCACAACTAGTCTCAGGTGTTTTAACATAATGGTGAGCTTACTTTAGAGTAAAACGATATTAGCCACGCGACAATGAGAGCAGCCATCCTCTATACTCACAAAGCCTGGCAGTTCGACGACGGTGCCATAAAGTGTCCGGTCGCAGATTTGGAGCGCGAGGATCTGGTAGCACAGGGTATTTCTCGGAGAGCCTGTAGACAGGGCACAGCTTTAGCAGCGGCGAGAACCCGAAACATGGTATTCGAACCCGACGAGAAAAGAAGCGGTAGCGCGACGAACGCGAGGAGCACGAGCGGATATTCCATCACTCGGGAGAAGTGTGTTTGAGCGTATCACCACCGCGGGGCGCCCGTTACAGGACTCTCTTCTCATCCGTTGTTTTCCTCTCTACCTTTTCACTTTCAGCGGCCGCGTCTCGTGGCGATCGGCCAGGTTTTGTCAATGCCAGTACAGAGGAGGCTATGGACCAGCACATGCTCTATAGCAGGGGTCTCAAACACGCGGTCCGCGGGCCGCATGCGGCCCGCTGGGACATGGCACGCCGGCAACTGGCGTTGAGCCCCGGTTCCCATGCCTCCAGCATTTTGGCATGCGCCATAGTGATCTCATCTCGTCGATTCATTGTCGTTCGAAAAGTCGCTCTGTTCTTCTAACGTATTCGCATAGTTTATTCTTATTCGTGTTAATTTGCCAATCGTTTCACTTTATTTCTTGCCTCCCAGCTTTTTGTAATGCACATGTACAACAATTACACTCTAAAAAAAAAGGGTATCACCTTACATCCTTTTGTCCCATATAATACACCCCAAAACTTCGTTTCGACGTACAGCGCCCTATAGTTGAACAGACGGCACCAAAGTTTACCAGGGGCTTGATAACGGTGCGATATAACTTATTAAATTGCTAAAGTACGTATCAAAGACCAAATAAAGAAAACACAGAGCTTTTGCAGTACGGCCAAGAAATCTCCGATAACCTTTTCTGTACTCAATAATACCTACATCAGCTATCTTAGTAAGTTGTACCACACGGCTATCAAGCCCCTCATAAACTCTCGGCCGCGCGAACTCTCGCTCAACAGGAGCAACTGCCAAGGATAAATCTCCGACCTAGGGATTCTCGCCTTAAAAAGAAAATATCCCAATTAAAAGACAAGTGTGTGTTCAGAGTTGTAATAAAAATCTCCAGGAAAGCCATAACTGTCAAAATAACTGATTGTTTTTAAGAGACATGTTGGGCTTGATTAATTCCTGAGTGAACTGAGCAACGGGAACGACAGTGTATTTGTTCTCTTGTTCTATCAAAAAAGGCAGAACGTTGGCGGGGCGGTGTCATTTTAGTTATTTTTATCACATTAGGTCAGGTTCAAAAGTAGTCATATAAAGGAATCGAGTTTAAAGATGTGACCGGAAAAACTGAGTTTACGAAAAGCATAAAACACAGGGTCTCTTCACCTTAAAATACTGAAGTAGACAGCATCCAGTCTACTTTTACGGTGATCCTCTGCATTCCTTTAAGAAAACGCGCATGCATTTTCTCTATTTGCCAGAAAATAACAGGGAACACTTCGGTTATCTCGGTCTTACCGAATAGTATGTACCTTTATTTGCAGTGTAAAAGTGTAATTGCTTTAGTTACCCCATGTTCCTTCATCAGTGAACGATGGTTCACTTCGCTATATTCAGGTTCAAACCTGTGTTCCAGCAGGCGTGTAAAAAGGAGCGACGATTCTAAGCAAAATAACAATCAAAACGAATATAGAGTGTGTTCAAGGTTCGCCAGCATTCCGGTGACGCTTATATATTGCTAATATGCCGGTCCAGTCGCTATATGAAAATAACCCCGTCGCGCATCTTTACGAGAGGTTAAAAACATTCAAGACGTAAAGAATGAAGTACTTGGGTTATGAAAGGCGTCTCTTTCTCTTATTTTCTAGTCCAGGCAACTTTTATCAGGCACTTGTTCTCATAAATTTCGAGCGTGCGGGTGATGTTTTGAACGTGGAACAAGTATATTCGCACAGAGCAGAAGGAACAAAGCAGTACTTGCTTATTGAAAATTGAACTATATTACGTGGTCTTCAATTTCTTTTGATCATACATGCACAAGGAGTTATCGATCTAGTGTTACTGCGTAGTTTTGCCCCCTTTTTTTTCCAGATGTTTTTCGTTTGTTTGGCACGAATATTCCCCATGCTGAAAAGCGCCGACGCCGTGTTCGCGCTAACCGTGTCCGACAGTGCATATAAATACATATACGAAGCCATTTTAGCACCGCGTTTAATGCAATGAATTGGAAAAAAAACGCCGTAACTAACCAATTATTTTTCTGCCTGACTGCCAAATGTTTCAAGCCACTTAAGTACGTACGCATTATTCGGGATATTTTCTCTTATAATCGAGCGCATGGAGAAAACGCACTAACCTTTTCCTATAGAAATGCATTACCGGAAGTCAATTTTCGACTGGTTGCATGCTGTCTGCTTCAATTTGCGACAGCACACTAGCGCCAGTTGAACCTCTAGCGTACATTATAATACCTCTACGGAGAGTGCCGTGCCCCAATAATCGCCGCATTTCCATTTTTTTTTCTTTGAAGACGAAAAGGAAGTGGGAATATCGCCCTCTCGTCTCTGGCGCAGACCGCTGCCTTGGCCGCGTGGTGCTGGGCTCCTTCATGTTCGCGCGGGGCCAGGCGCAGCAGCACTGGACCGACGCCATGGCCGCGGCGCCCAAGCAGATCCACCGCTGGCACAAGCTCTCCTGAACCCACACGAGAAACGCCAGCCTGGGTCGCCCCCCTTCCCGGCCCGGAGCCGAACCGAGGCAGCCATTGCCGAGCGACAACATCCGACTCGTGCTGCGACGCGCTTCACCTCCGAACACTCGTGCGCCTCGCGCTTGTGCTCCTCGCCGCGTACCGCTCCCGGCTTCTTCTTCTTCTTCTTCCTTCTACGTCATCGGGTCACGGAGGTACATACGAGTGGCGTGAACCCTTAGCTTTATGTTTAGTGGTCCGTCTTATGAGCCGCCCATTACGCTTTTGGCGGTCACCGAGGATGCAGGACAAAGTCATCTTTCCATAGTCACTGACTGATGGTGAATTCCACGGGTAGATCCGGAGCGCTTTCCAAATTCCGCGAGAGAGGCAAAATTCTGTTCCTTGGGACCCGCTCTGAATCTACGAATGGAAGATGACAAACTTGAGCCATATATCTGCGAGCGGAATATGCGCGCTCCAAATGGAGCGCTTTTGGAGCGCTCGAGATCTGCACGCGGAATTCACCATGAATGAGAACGGCAGGGCGTGTGTCTTTGGAACGCCAGGACTCGCACTCCATGCCTTCCGCCGTGCCAAGGGTACGTGCGCGCGATCGAGGAGACGCCGAAGCGGTGTTGAAGGTACAAAGCTCGCGCTCGAGGCGGGGCCTTCTCCCTGACGTTCTCATGTTGTCAGTGACTACACAAATAGTATACATTTTGCTAAATTACGCGAAAAATCAAGGAGCATGCTGCGTGAGTGGTTACTCGCGCTGCAGTAAGGCAAGCGTGTGTAGCCCTCGTATCTACGTTCCCAGGTTTCTCCTTGGTGCTTGGGTAATTTGAAGGAAAAAAGAAAAATATATTACCCAAAGATGAAGTGTGAAATACTCACGAAGGCCTGCGGGATAAAGCTCTCATGTTGGGCATTGTAAATATTAAAGTAGAGAAGAGGGGAAGGAGGTGCAGCAAAGTACTAAAGCAAATAGTTCCCGGAAACAGCAAGAAAAGAAAAAAAAGCGAATGAATTAGAGGTGACTACGCGGTCTAAAATAACGTTTTCTTGTTTGTTTGTTTTTAATTGCGATGAATCGGAAACGAATTACAGAAACGTGTCTCGTTTTATGATTTTCTTCTCAGACATGAGACTGACAACTGAGAATGGACAGTTTATCCTCGGGACCACACCTGTTTTTGTTTTGTTTTTCGTCCACAATTTGGCTGGTGTGAACCGCACGCAGATCCTCTGACGCGTACCTAGCACTCTCGTAGTAAAGTCTAGTCGATGTTGGCACAATCAATATGCGTAGGTTCACCAGCCGTTAGTCCCATAACGCCGAAGGTTCGCTCACAATGAACATTATTTTGTGAAACGAGTGTGCTAAGAACACGTGCGATCGAGGTATTAAAAACCAAGGAAAATTCTCTGTAAAAATATTTAGAAACACAAACACAAGTAAACAATAAAAGAACGAACAGAATACAGAACAGTTAGCAGATCTCCAAAGTTATTTATGAGATTGCATCCACATATAGCGTACTTTTGGCGTCACATGTGTTTATAGCTCGTGGCTGTGCGCGTGCGCTCAGTGCGGATCCCGACTGCGCAACAGCGATCGGCGGACCTCGGGCGATTCGAACAAATCTTCTATCGCGATGGATCGCACGAAACATATTATAGACGGCCAGTGACGAAACGCCCGAGGCGGCTGCGCAAGCCTCTAGCGGCCGCGCTCCGTGCCCGCGTGGGCGTTCTACAATAAACCACCTCGGGCAACCGCCGAACGAGATGACTCGAAAGAAAACAATGACATATAAAAGAAGAAAGAGAAAGAGACAAAAGAGGAGGAGGGGAGCTAGAACAAACTCCCCCAACACCGGCTTTCGTTTCAGCCCCAGCAGGTCCGTTCGAAAGGTCAGCTTGTTTACAGCGTTGCCAGTGTCTCCTTCGGCGGCTTGTTTCTTCGCTTCGCGATCACGAAAAGATGAGCTTGTCACGATATCGAAAAACGAGACGGGGCGTGAATATAGCGAAGAACTCTCGTAAAATGGAGGAAAAATAAAATTGTTCGAGAAACGGTCCGCGTACCCCTTGCGGGGCTTGTCTCTGCTTACACAGCCTCTTCTGCGTTCACTCGGAACAGGAGGCACGTAGAATGTACACAGAACTTCGTGACAGGGAACAACGACGCTCTCGGAAGAAAAAACTATTTTTGGAAACAGCAATGATATTTTATAAGGACTGTTTTTATTTATTATTGTTTACGCAACAAAAAATTTCGCAACAGTGGGCACATTTATTTATTTATTTTTTTTTTTTTTTTTAAGTTGACGTGTTATCCGAACACGCAACGACTCTGAAGCCGGAATGGCATGCGTACGCACGTTCCCCACTCAAGTGAGCATTCCGCTGAATACTCTTTCTCCTCGAGAACGAACGCGAAACGCATTCACCGATCAACATCATGCGCGCGCCGTCGCGTTTTCCTGTGCGTTCATGCTGCGTGTATTTCCCGAGCTCTTGTACTCAAACATGCCTCGGGAAAGACGAATAAAGTGAGCCAAAGAAACGCGTCTCCGTTCTTGTCTCGCTCGTCGCACACAAAAAAATTCGAAACACGTTTTTTCTTTTGTCTTTTATTTTGTTTTTTGGTTTGGGGGGGGGGGGGGGGGGATATTGATGCAAGTGTTCTAAAGCTGCTCTCAATTTTAGGTCGGAGACGAACTGAACGGCTTCAGTAATCGACGAATTCCCTCAACAAGTATTCAATAGCCACTGTAAGGATGAAAACGGCTGTGTGTCTCGCTTGGGCGGCACTCAGTTGGTGGAACGACGTTTTAGCGAACGCCGACTTTTCATCGAAAGAAACTTTAGCGAATGGTCGGCCGCCACGAAGCGGCGTTTACGGGTGGGCAAGGTGGGTTAACACTTTTTTTAAATGAGCCTCCACGAAGTGGCGTGAACGCAGCGGGGGGCGGGGGGGGGGGGGGGGGGGAGGAGGAGGGGGGGATTGACACCTGTTTCTGTCATTCACTAGAACGTCGATTCGCTCAAATGACCGCGGTTCGCTAAAACGTCGTTTGCTCATATGATATAAACCCTTATAGAAAATAGAAAGCTCGCGCTGCAGAAGCAACTGAAAATCCTCCCTAAAATTAGTGACGCTTCTCATCAATCCCTTTCCAAAAAAAAAAGGATTCTTTGGGTGAATTTTTTTAATATTTTATTTTATTTATGTTATGATCGTTTCTATTCTATCATCTGGCAGGCAGTCGATTTTCGGTGAGCATTTCTTGGTGACCTAATTTGATATAAATATTTTCTGTCTGCCGGAAGCGCAAGAAAGAAATGTTGTCTTTAAAGGTAATTTGTCTGCACGTGCCGGTGCTGAAAACTTCGACGCACTTGCAGGCGCAGGTGCCGAACAACTTCCTAAAGTAACTTATCTGCTTAGCGTCAGTACCGCAACCGTGCCCATGTTCAAAAAAAAAAAAAATTTAAAAGTGAAAGTAGTTTTTTTTTTATATTGCCTGGCACATATTATAAAAAGCAATAATAATGCATCGAAACATTCTTGAAGAAATATATACCTTAGCTTCTGGATTCTGCTCACAATAAAAGCACAATGCGTTAATTACAAAAGTTTGAAACGCTCATTGCTTAACCTTGCAATTTTATCGAGTATCTTAAAATTGAGGCTAACGTCAGCGCAGCTGCGCGATGTCTAGGACTGTGACGGCTTTTTAAACATCCCAACAAGCTCTCACGAAAACAGAAACGTCCCAGCGCGACATCACTTCAGACGAAAGTTTCCCAAAACTCGTGGTATCCACTTCATCAACTAGCGCTTCCGCACTACTTCGCTTGTTATGTGAATTATGCTTGACAGAATCAAAACTAACACGTTTATCAAAAATTGAAAATAAGGGTAACGCTCACATCACTCCAACTACTTTGATCAATACGAAAATGTAATTTCCTTTAAACAAACTCTCTACTGGAAGTTCCTTTTTCAAAATCGTTTTAAACTAATCGAAACTGTTACGCTTAAATAATTCACGTTCGCCCAACTGCTATTTCTTTTCCAGCGTTCTAACCTACATTTTTCAAGCCTGCTTCTCTACCAATTTAAGACCAACTAAACTTCCGATGCAACCGAGTGAATAACAAAACTCACGAGGTCTCCCCATCCTCTCCACAGAACAACAGTAATTCGGATCGGAAATTCCCCGGTGCTTCGGTGCGCTCCCCTCGCAGGACCAAGCTGCTCCGAGCGACGCCCAAATCTCCTCCGACGCACCGTTCGCTTCCCCGGAAAACGCATCGAAGCCCGAAGCGAGAGACCCAAGGTTCGAACCCGAGGCTGAGCCCTACAAGGTGGGGGCGGGCGGTCCCGGTCGACAGCAGGGCAAATAACACCAGAGAAGGCCCGATCGAAAACCCAGTCGCGCGTAACTCTGTACGCCGAAGGAAACGGGGATCGACAGATGCAGGCTCGGGCGCGTATTGGGAAAAGCGTGTGGAGCAAGTCAACAGGCCAATTTCGGCACTCTGCT